ACAAAATTTATCAGCGGTGCTTGACATCATATTCATTGCTTCACACACACACACACTATATATATATATAAGGAACATGCTTTGCATATATATTTTTAGCTTTTATTATAAAATTTGTGTAACAAAATAATAAATCAAAAATGTATTTTAAAATCTATGTCACTTGAGAAAATATTTGTTGTTATGATACGGAGACACCATTTAATATTTGTGAATCTAAAATTTGAACTTGTATTGTGTTTACTGTAATTCATTACTTTAGTTATTTATTTGCTGAATAGAAATAAACTCGAAAAAGCGGACAAACACAGTTACCATCTAGCAATAAATACGTGAAGAAAATCAGTATCATATAACCCCACAATGATATATAGAAATATGCCGATTGAATTTCATGCCCTAGATTCATGTAAATACCTCTAACTCTAAATACTAAATTAACTAAGAGAATTGAAATTTAAAGACAAAAGAAATCTTAAAATTATCAATAACTGATCAAACATGATAAACAAACATATTTCTCGACAAAACTTGCTAACAAAGCAAAATAGATGTACATTTATCAATTCAGCCCAAACGTTTAAATTTGTTGTCTGATTTTATAGCTATTTCTTTTATAATAATAACATATCTCGTGAAATTTGTCTAGGGAGTGTAGGGTGTGCACAAACCTTACCTCAATTCAGAAGACCCTCAACTTGAGTCGAGTATAGAAAATCAAAGTAAATATGAAAAAGAAAAATGACAGTGAAGAGAATATAATATATAATATAATATATCAACTATTACGAAAACAGTAACAACAAAAAAAAGTTCAATAACCGAAACATCATAAAAACAATTGGTGGTAGAAAGCAAAAGCAAGACAGTACAAAAATAAAAGTACTACTACGACAGACACTACTAAGCCTAAACCCTTCGGAAAGCAGGAGAACACTCCAGTACAACCTTCTACCTTAATCGGCGATCTCCATGCTTAAGCATTTTCTATAATTGATGAAATCAGATTCTTTTTTTCTTATGAGCTTTGAAAGGCGAATTAGCTTATGTATCTGTCAATAATAATTTTACCTCATGCACATGATATTTATAAGCCAAAAGTTTGCCTAGAATTCTATAGAAAGCTCAGAAGTTATGTTGGAGAATGGAGAGGCATTCTTAAAATGCCTTTTAGTATAATAATATGATTATTTTTTTGAGATTGAATAATTTTACCTTCGAGCACAAATATTCACTGTCCACCGATTAAAATATATATGTCGCGGGTGGGTCAAATTTGGCAAGCTGCTTGTTTTACTCTACTTTCCTTACATAGTTGTATTTGACGAGTTCATTGAAAAACTCTTTTAGGTGATCATTCTTGAGAAGTATCGCTATCTTTTCTCGGAGATGTATGTTGTCCCATTGAATTTGATTTTCAGAGGCTTGGGGTGCTGCCTAGCTCCTATATATGATGAGAGCGACAAAATCAATGTTGACTCATAATGGTTATGTACATTTGTCCGAAGTTGTAGCTTCGAATTTTGTGAGGTCAAGCTTTCTTTCAACTAAATAGAAGCTAAGCAACCAAACATTGGTGAAATCATCATGTACAATCGATAGCAACAATATCCTTTCTCTTTGAAATCTGGTGATTGAAGATGTCCACCATTCTGGGATATGGGTCCTTCACTAACTTCGAGCCATGAGTTCCTACCTTAGCTTATTTTCGATAACACCATCCGACATATTTAGTAATCAGGCAAAATCAAGTTAATCAACCAACCTTTGATCTAATCACTCGATCAACGATACTTATATTGACACTTCTCTTCGATCCTCTATGCATACCTAATGTAACACATGTGAGTCAATAGGATAGAATATATGTAGACCTAGATAGTAACATGAGTGGAAGGATGACAAACTATGAGAGTAGTGCTTATACTACTACTATGAAAGAAGTAACAAGTATAGGGCATCAAATACCACCAAGCCTATACCGTAAGAAAGCAAGACACTCAACTACCTACTAACCTTCTTAGAGGTGAATCCATGATTTGAAAACTCTGGGTGCATCAATATTAAGCTAAAAAAAAAAAAGAGGTTCTACCTAGGATAGAATCCTAGTCGCATGAGCAAAGCACCGTTGCATGCTTTCTATGTGGGCATTATTAATTATATTTAGCTTCTGCCAGTTTCTCAAGATAGATTTACATATATATATATGAATTTTTTTCAGTGCCGATTTTTTAAGTATACAACTTAACAACTGTATTTACACCAACATAGCAATACTTTTTTTTTCAATTATATAGAAATACTTTCTTTTTTCAAAAGTAGAATTTAAATTAAAATAAAAAAGATTTTCCAAATCAGCCACGCTTATCCCGATTTCCATAAATTTCTCCAATAAATTTATTCAAATATGTTATATATTATCTCCCATAAATAGAGGTTTCCTACCAAAACAAAACTCCATTTCTCTGAGAAGAACGACTATCGAAAAAATGCATACCAATAATTTTTCAATTCTAATTCAACACAACGGGCGATGGAACTCATCAGGTAATTATATAAAAAATAATTTTCATGGTGTTTTATTACGTGGTTGAATTTGATTTTTCACAAATATCTATTTTGTACTTTTTGGTAGTTATTTCGCTTTGTTTAGTTTGTCAATTTTGGTGTAAATTAATTCATACAATTTGGTTGATGTTCTGGATCATCGAAATTTTGGTGTAATTACAACAACTTCATATGATTTTGTTGTACACTGATGTGTCAAATTTGTTTTTTGTTAAAGTTTAGGTTTAATTGGTATGATGTGTGCCGTATGGTAGCAAATATTTTATATCAATAGGTTTGTGTTATGTATTTTTGTATTTGTTTTGGTATGTGATCTGGTATAATTGTCGCTAATAACTGACACCAAATATATAGCCTAATGTATGTTTTGGTGTATTGTTTGGTCAAATTTATATTATCTTACATATGAACATACATATTTTAGTGTATTTTAAGTATTTGAATTGGTGTAAATAATAAGAGTTAATATCTTAAAAGATCACTGAACTATGCAAAATTATCTAGAAAAGTCATTAAACTTTCTTTTGTATCAATAAAATCACTCAACTTAACACTTTTATCTTCAAAAATCATTCAACTATATTTATAATTGAAATAAATTTGCCATAACAATGACTTTTCTAGATAATTTCTAATAGTTCAGTGATCTTTTAAGCTATTAACCCGTATATGTATACTATGATGGGAGGGAGTTTTTAATTAAAACATATGAGGCATCAATGCACCCTCCACCAGATACCATACTAGTTTGTACAACATTCTCGATGATGTGTCTACATTAGTGGTCTTATATGATACCAATAAGGTATCAATATATCGACGGAGTATCACAAGGAATTAAGCTTAGTCCTATATGATATTAATATGGTATTAACATACCGACAGAGTATCACAGATGATTAATTCATATTAATGTTGCTGATGTCATGCACGAAATGAGAAAGAAGAAAGTGGGGTAAACATATAAATAATTTGGGTCATGGATCCATTAAGGATAAATAGTTTAAATTGGATCCAATTTGGATAAATAGTTTCACAATTGGGTCCATTTTGTGTACTTTTCCTATTATAAGATGGCACGTCTAATGATAATGATATTTTCAGATGGAATGTTCTATTCGACATAGTATTTTAGTGAACAAGTGAGTTTTCCTATTGATTAATGTATTACTTTTGTTTCCTATGTAAAAAGTAGTCTCCAATTATTTGTTAAGGGGTTGAATTCTAGACAACACAAAAATAATACACTCATACTCTTGTACTTTAAGTTATCTATATTTTACTACCAAGTCCTTGCTCTTAAACGTCATAATTAAATCATGTTCGGATCTAGCTTGAAACATCAAACGATTGAGCTCTACTGTTTCATTCGATTTATTTTTGCTTCATCACTTTCTTATAAATTAAGATCATTTATTAATTAATTTAATTGCTAATACATAATCATCGCGTTAAATCAATGCATATCTTTGACCTCATAATAAATTTAACTGTTTCGTTTACCGATAAACAGTACCTGCATATGCCATATTTCACTTCTTGAGATTGGGGGACTAACAGCAAGAGTAACATGAAATCATATTTAATTTTTCTTAATTTAGAAAATATTTCATTCTATTTTATATTTTTATTATAGATAAAGGTCAACCATATGGATTCACATGTTGAACAATTGAATATTAAGCATTATTGGTATGACACTTATGATGATGATAATCCAAATTCCTAGCCCTTGTCACTAAATTTTCAAGTAAGTGGTTTGCACGTAGAAGAATCTAAGTGGGCATACACTATTATACAAAGTATAAACTTGTGAAGATGGTCATCACGTCTGGAAACAATTGAGGATCAATACTCACTCAACAACAAATGTGGTTTAGTAGCATTCACGTTCTTGACAACACTACAAACAACAGCCATGCCAAAAATTATATAAAGGAATCTAACTCAAATGAACTTAACATCAAAGCAGAATCACATTCCAAAACTCACAATATATTTTCAAGAAGATGGCAAGCAGCCAACTTGTCCTGATTGTTTCGTTGCTCCTTGCATTAGCCGTTCCACTGATAACTGCCTATGACAAAGTGCCAACTAAGTCAGTAGAGAAGACTGACCAAGTGGTGGTTGAAGGCATGGTCTACTGCCAGAGCTGTGATAACTATGGATCATGGTCTCTGTCTAAAGCTAAGCCCATTGCAGGAGCTAAAGTTAGTGTTATCTGCAAAAATTACAAGAAAAGAGTCAGCTTCTACAAGGCATTTAAAACAGATGAAACTGGCTACTTATTTGCAGAGCTGGATGGCTTCAAAATGGGGCATTCTTATCTTGACCATCCTCTACATTCATGCCGCGTAAAACTGGTCGACTCTCCTCTCGAAAACTGTGATGTGTTCACTAATGTCAACTATGGAATCACCGGTGCTCGACTTCGATTTTTAGACAAGACATTGAAGCGAAGTAATTACGAGGCTGTAATTTATGCTGCAGGTCCCTTCGCTTTCCGACCAGCTCACTGCCCTCCTAAGACAGAATATTAATTGATTTTCATCATGTACTTTTATATTTTGAACTTTTTCCTGGTTTTATGCTTTCATAAGAGTATTGAGTATAAATTTTCCTTTTCTCTGTAAGCCAATTGTGCAACATTCTTCACATTGCAAGCAACATTTTGCTCATTTCATAATTGACTCTCCTCTCTCTCTCTCTCTCTCTCTCTCTCTATAATTTTGTACAGTGAAATTTCAACCTTCAACATAAATATGACCTAATTAGATGTGTCAGATCCATCTCACACGTCTCAAAATTTAGTAGGGACACAAAATTACCAGCAGCTTTGTGAAGAATGTTGCACAAAGAGTTTGAAAGATAAAAGGAATAAATCACCAGATTGAAAGAAAAAATAAGAGTTTACCAGCATCTCAGAAATCCAATGGCATCGCAAACATTTTATTTATCTCATCCATAGCCTCCTTTGTGCATACGGTTTTCTCAAACAAGTCATTATCCCTTTTTGACGACGAAGTTGGCAGGGAACTCTTAGGTTGATGGTGTGGCTCATCATCTGGAAGTATCAAGAACCTACTACCATCTCCCTCCATCTTAGGTGCTAATCCCTGTTTCTTTGGTTTGCTTTTCCTTGTAAACTCAATTGGCCTTCCGAACATGCTATTAATATCATCCATAGCCTCCTTCAAGTTAATTGTTGGTTCTACAAGGCCATGATGGCAAACATTTTCAACAGCTGATTCTTCTGAAATGGTGGAGCCAACAAATTTGTATACAACTGTGTCCTCCCTACGGAGTCTTCCTTGAGGAGGCCTTTCAACATTTGGATCTCTAGAGTATTCTGAGGTAATATCAGTTGGACTAGGAAACACAAAACCCTTAACGATTTCACCTTCAATAGAACATCCAGTCAAATTGTTAAGGTTACCCATATCTAATTTATCCAGCTCATGTACTCCCTCCATCACATCATTGGTGTCGTCATCATCAATATATATGTGAAATGGATCCTGCATGGGCTCTTGAGTCTCAACTCTTGTGCTTTGTGTCACCGATGCACCATTTGACATGGCTTGGTGAGAAGATCCAACAGCACTATCAGTGTTTTCGTCGACAAATACCTCAAAACCATTGTTTGATATCTGATCAACTTTTGGCTGATTTCTACGCGAATGTTTTCCAGCTAGAGATGGCTCTAATGGCTCTCGAAACATGCTATTAATTGCATGCATGGCCTCCTTTGTATTAATGGTAGGTTCCACCAGACCATGATGTCGTGCATCTTCGACATCAGACTTCCCAACAATGGCATTACCTACAAATTTAACAACAACTGTGTCTTCACCAGTAAAATTTCGGCATCTATCTGTTTCTATAGTGTCTCCAACATAATTTTTTCGACTGAGTTCCTTCTGAAGGGCTGGACCACCATGAGTAGTTTCGTTCACTTGTGACTCTCTCCTGGAGCCCTGTGAAATGGCAACTTCATTTTTCATATTTAAATGCTTGGATCGTGCATTGGGTAACTGATCCTCGGTGATGACAGGATTGTTTTCATTTCCACTTAAATTCTCAATGTTTTCCTTAATCTCATTGTTCTTCAAAGTAGTGTTTTTAGCACCAAGAGAACATATTTTATTTTTTCCTTCTTGGCGCTGCAGAACATATCCCTATTATCAGTTAATGGCTCATATAAACAAAAGGAAGACATTTGGTAGACAATATGGCCATTGTAACCAACCTGTATCCTCTTATTCTTACGCTGCTCCATCCGATGAAGGAACTGCTCATATGACGTATGTAACTCATCAAGTGGCTCTGCAAGCCTGTTAATTGAAGAATGAAACAGAAATCTGTAAGAAATGTTTGAAACCACTTGTTTCCAGAACTGCCATTCATGCGTTTAGTGGATAAAAACATAACCAACATAAACCAAGTTTCACTATTCAAGTAATTAAGCAAGGGCAAAGGAGCGGTCACCTAGTTAAGTTGTTGCAATCAGATAATGATTAAAAAAAGGATTCTATAATTCACCAGGATCAAAAGATTAGATAATTTGTTAGGACTGATAACAGGCCCTGCGAATAAAAAGGAATAATAGAAAGGAAATTTGTACAGATAGGAAGGAAAGCCTAACAAATATCCCTAAATCATGGAGGGAAAAGGAGTAAGAAAAGACATTGGGCACCAGATGACACATCTCTCATAAATAGATCTATGGAACAATGCTGCTTTTGAATTTGAAAACATATTTTAAAAATACACAATGTAGTAACTTTGCCAAGAAGTTCAGATAATTTCCTATGAAGCAAGTAAAGTAAATCAACTTAAATTACCAAAACTAATGGTGCAAAGATATGCACCTGCTCTAATACTGCATGATCACGTCCCAAAATTGGCCATAGGAAAGAAACTGCTACCAGACATTCTACAGTATCAAATATTCATAACTCAAGAAGAAAGTATGTGCAAATAGGGTAATCAATTTGGCTGAGGGTGATAAGATTAGTTAGTTTAGTGTACTGTTCAATTCACAGAATTAGTTAATTACTGTTCATTCACATAGTTAGTTAGTTAGTTAGGAGTCACAAGTTTACAATTTCATAGTCAGTTGAGTTGTTAGAAAACTCTATCAGTGTGTATATATACACATACATTGTATTGGTTACAGTTTAGTTTTCACATTCGCAATAATATCTTTTCTCTTCTTCTTCTCTGATTGTTGGTGAAAGCTCAACCTCCATTAATGGAGGAAGTACATTGTTTCGCAGCTTATGCTGCTGGTTTTGTCATGGTATCAGAGCAGTGAGATTCCTGCTCCTCTCTCTCGTCGTGAGCATTGTATTTAGTTCGATTTGCCGACATTTTCCTCGCCGTCTTCTTCTCCCTGATTTTCTCTGAACGATCTCACTATCGTTCCTCTGTTTTTTTTTTGTTGTTTCGAATTTGCTCATTGTGAGTTCATCTTCATTCTCCTTCTGTAATTGCATTCTCCTTCATATTCTTCTATGGGAGACGCTCCAGGTGACGCGACTGCTAACAACACTTCAACTCGATTGGATTTCAATATCCCCTTCTATCTGCATCCCTCAGAGAATGCAGGTTCTGCTTTACTTCCTGTTGTTTTTGATGGAACTAGCTACAGGTCATGGAGACGAGCAGTTCTTAGGGCTTTATCTGTCAAGAGTAAAACTGGATTTATCAATGGAAAAATCGTGAAGCCAAACTCTGCAGATCCAACCTTCATGCAGTGGGAAAGGTGTGATGACATGGTGACCTCTTGGATTTTAAATTCTCTATCACCAGATCTGCGAGATAGCTTGCAATACGTCAATAATGCTAAGGAGCTTTGGGAGGAGTTGGAGGATAGATATGACCAAACTAATGGCTGCAAACTCTATCAACTACAAAAGGAGATAAATGACCTTGTGCAAGGTAATTTGGATGTCACTGGTTACTATACTAAGATGAAGAAGTTATGGGAAGAAATGAACACTCTTGATGTCAATTCTCAATGCACTTGTGTGTG